TTAAAAAAATTCTTAAAATGTAAAACTTCCAAAATCAAGTCAAAATCAAAAAGTCAATTTTCAAGTCAACCGTAGTTCAAATTTAAGGATCAAACTTTGGAAAATCATAATTTTTCAAAGAAAACTCCAAATTAAGCAAAATAATAATCTAACTAATCATTATAAGGTTTAATATTTATGAAAAATATAAAACTATCAAAATTAACTTCAATTTAAAAAGTCAACTTTTAAACCCTAAATTAATGCGTTAAAATAATTTTAATAATTCAAAAAATACAATAATTAATTAAAATTCTAGAAAACTTCAATTTGATTAATAAAATTATTTAACCAACATTTTAATATACAATAACCACTCTAAAGATGAAGTTTTTAGGATGGATTACTTTGGGCTATGGGGCAACGCATTTTAAAGAGGTCTGCTTCCTCGAGCCTAGCGACACAATGCCATGAATGAATTCAATGGAGTATAAAATCTTAAATTTAAATGACTCTTAATTATTTAACCAAACTGCAATCCCAAATCCAACTACATCAACAAGGTTTTTAGGATGGACTACTTCGGACTACAAGGCTAGGTGTCCTATGAAGGCCTAATTTCTCAAGCCTGGTGGCACAATGCCACGAACTAGTTGATGGAAAATATAAAACTAATTTAATTTTTAAAATTAATAATTAATTAAATTAATTAAAATTAATTAACCCTTGATTTCTAACCAACTAAATTAACTTAATCAACCATAATTACTACTAGGTAACTCATGCCTACGAGGCTATTAACTTAACCCCAAGGAAGGTGTAATAAATTTTATGGTCTCGATAAGTAACAAAGGTATTAATCATTTAATAATTAAAATATACCATTAACAAAGCTTTAACACATTAATATTTAAACTCAAATATAAACCCCACTTTAATTTTTCAAAAACTTAAAAGTATATAATCTCAACAAACAACCCATTTTAGGATCTACCCCAGCCACACTACATTATACACGCACTTTAGATTGTTTACTAGGACAACCAACTCTAGTATAAGTAGGCTGGTATTTTAATTTGTTATTGTGCGCTAAGTTTTTTGAGATTTCATTTCATATTGTGATTGAAATGTTTGATGTAAATTTTTATTTGCTTTTAATATAGTCTGTGGATTAACGATGCGATGGGAGATAATTTACTCTTAGGTTAGGATCGTTCTATTTTCTCATATAGTTTTTTTAGGTGGACATGCTCGTGCATGATAATAAAAGGGGGCTAAAAAGTAATTATTATTAGAAATGTTATATGTGTTGCAGCTTACTAAGCCCCCAAATAAATAAGAGCACGACCATGTGTGGTTGGTTTGAGAAATTTTAATTTCATTATAATAGAAGAGTTTAAAATTTTCATTTTTATATTAATGTAATTCATTCAAAGCTAAGAGTTGTGAAAGAATCTTTGAGTTTGGGATACTTAGACCCAAAATTAAATTCCAAAGAGGAAAGGATAGCCCTTACGGGGATAGTCATTTTCCATTTGAAAGCTCAATTTTGGATCAGTCCAGTATCCAAAGTGGGAAGAATAACTTCCCTCTCGAGGGTAGAGTTTTCTTTCCCATTTGGGTACCTAGGTACGACGAGTCCAAGGAGTTCGAAGAAGAGAAGACTGAGGAGCTGAAGATAGAATAGTATTCCACTTATAGTCTACTTACGTCTGTCCTAGGATTAGAATGTGGGTTTATTATTAGTAGTGCCACTTTTAATTTATGTAATTCTGGGTTGTATTAAATGGGACATTTGCTTAAGAACATTAATTTGAGGAGTTAATTATATTTATTAATGTTTGATTTACTTTACTTACACGTTCTTGACTGCTTTTTCTAGTTTTTTTGGCACTGTTTGTAAATTTTATTTTAGCCTGAATACACGGAGGCTCGTGAGGATATGAAAAAAATTTATCTACTAAAATTAAAATAAAATTTTAGATAACATAGAAACTCCGACGATCTAATAAGTAAGCCTGAGATCACTAGGAGTTCACATAAGCATTTTTGAAGCTTTCTTCTATTCCTTTTGTTAGACACTTTCCCACTTGTGAGTTTTGGCAGACCACCTAGCCTATGGGGGTGCGGATCAGTCAAGAAGAATCTATGAAATCTCTAGGATACAATTTTTAAGCCTTTTAAAATTGTTTCATTCTAATTTTAAGCATTTATTGAGTTAGTTGGCATGCATTGTATTAGTAATAAATTTAAAAAATGAGACTAAAATTTTAATTGCATCTCTCATTAGTATTTTCACCTCACATAAGTCAAGGGACCAATTAGGACAAGCTCTAGATGTTGGTCCCAACTCTCAAAAACTTAATAAAAATATCCCTTCCACTCTTTTATAAAATGATCAGACTCATGAATTTAAAACTGCCTAGATGGTTAGCTGGCTCCCTAATCTAAGCCAGTATAAGTCTAAGCAGGCCATCGTCATCTAGTGCCCAATTTAGATTTAGGATCCATGACATATTTTGAATCATAAAACCCCAACCTCCAAAAATATAATATCAAATTTCTAACAAAATGCTCAACTCAAATTAAAGATTCTCTAAGTCTAAAATTTAAAGCCTAACACTTAACCTAGGTTGGGACACTTTTGAATTATTTTCAAAATCCCAAAGTTACTCTTACTCTTCTTTATTTGACTTCAAAAATAAGAGCCCAATCTTGCAATAACTCTCTTTGAAATTCTAGTTTCACCTCCTTTGACATCACTCATAGAAAGTTTCCAAATAAAAATTTATCATTATTTTAATTTAGAGTTTTTGTAGGAGACTCCAGTTTCCTACAATATAATTAACTACGAGGACTTGTGCTAGTAGAAGATTTAAAATCCACTTCCACCTTTTCAAAATCAATTTTCTAAATTCAAAATTAGTCTTCTTTTGGAAAATTGAGTCGACAACGATCATTAGCATCATATTCCATCAATCGATAGTAAGTGATAGTTTTTTTCTTTGAAGAGATATATCATTTACCATTATGACTTAAAATAAGAAATTAATGATCTTTCATCAAGACTATAGTGGTTGAATATTGATAGAATCTAATTTTGACTCGTCGGGGTCATATGTAATTCTTCCATGAATTCAATTACTACAATCAAGATGAAATTTTTAGTTTTGTTATCTCAACCCATTAACGAACGATATCTTTGCCTTTTAGAGGCAATATATTATTTATAATATGGCATTTGATTTCGAGACTATAAATTTAAAAATCAAAATTTCCAAATAAGATTAAGCTTTCAAAAAACTACTTTTCAAAAATTCCACCAACACCTCCTCCCTTGCTTCTATTCTGAGGATTCCGAGGTGGAGTCGGTCCAAAAAGCATTTTGTATCTTTTGCTTGCCCCTCTTGAATTTTGGCATCTCTTTACCCTTCTCCTTGATCGAGCGAGTCTTAATACAAAATAGTTCATAGTCATAAAGTAGGATATTTAGCTTAGACTGTTTTACTTCACTAATTACTTCATAGGTATACATAGTTTATCCCAAATACCACTAAGTGGATACAAACATATAATCTTCAGATTTCAATGCAAATAGGAAACATTTTAAATATTTTGCATTCAATTAGGCTAAATCCTTATCATCGTTACTCTATTTATTAAATAATAGTTCAATTTTGATGCCATTCACAAGACAAAAAGGTGCAGAATATCATTCTTGGACTAACATTCATATGCGATAATCTATATATTGCAAAAAGGTAGACATATGAATTTTCTAGAAATCAAAATGTATATCATTAAATAAATGTGGACGGGTTATTGAATAACCCTATGTAGTGTTACAATAATTAAAATGAGCCATTGATTTTTTTTTTTTCAAAAGTTTTCTAAAACCTTATTTTTGAAACCCTCTCTAATACCATTTGAAAGTTCAAGGAGGTTGTGAGACCTCAATGAACTAGGCCGAGGGGCACTAAGAGGGGGAGGGGGATTGAATTGGTTATTTAAAAAATTCCAAACAGGAATACTAATTTTTTTTTGTGATTTTTCAAAACTTAAAATGAAGAACTTGATCACCCTATACATAAGCTAATAAACTTAATAACAATTATATCAATGGCGAGAATAATTGAATCAACTCAATCTAACAACAACTACATATTTTCAACAAAGCAATGATCATAAAAATAAATTAAATAAAAGTAAAATGCAGAAAGTAATAATAAAAAAGAGAACACTAGAATTTTATAGTGATTCGATTGGTACGATTATCCTATGAATATCATACAGTACGATTAGTTTAAAAATCATGATTTTGTTTGGTACGATTTTTGGGACAACCAAATTTCATCTTTGTAAATTATACAGTACGATTAATATCTTATAGTATGATATGCTATTATTAATTAAATCATGATTTGATTGGCTAATTATGAGAATTAATTTAAGTAGGATTTCAAAATTTCGTACAATACAAAATAGATCATACATTATGATTAGTTTAAAAATCAAATTTTAATAAATATCTTACTTAATTTATCCGGCGAGTTCTTTGTGGTGAGCTCAACTTATATAAGGATGTATAGTACTTGCAACATTTTATTATTGTTTAGAATAATAAATAATAAATTATAAAATATGAGATCAAATTTATAGTAATTATTTATTAACATCTACAATTTTTAATCTACATACATTTGCATGTGCAATTAAGATATTATGTAAAAGGCATTAAGATGACTGAGAATTGCTGGCCTAATTATGGGGCCAAATTTGAAAAATTTTCATTTTTGGAAATCGTCAAATGGCCACATGTACCGATCAGTGGATGTACGCAGCACACTACCAAAATCCATGGCACACCACATCTGGATCGGTTCGACCGAACACGGGCCTCCCATATCCAACCAAACGTTCTGTCACCACCGGCTTTGGCCATTTCCCATCATTTTAAAATTTCTTTTATTTTTTTGGCCAATCACTGATTTTTTCGGGGAAAATATATAATATTTCATAAAAACATCGAATGAAGATGACAGGCGGTGGCTGGCTGTAGTAGACTTAAGAGGGAAAGGGAGAGACGGACCAGGGGCTTCGAGGATTGCAGGGTGGGAACGAAAGCAGCAGCTTATCGGAAAGATCTTCCTTTTACAGTCTCCGATCTGTTGCTTTTGGAGGTTGGGTTGTTAATTGTTTCTGTTCGTTCGTATTATTTTTCGTTTTCTGCAACTCATTCGTTCAAGTGATTGGGGGTTTTCTTCTTGATTTTTGGTTAAAATTTAAGATCTTTTCCAGCTTCATATCGGGATTATTTTATTGGTTATAGGAATAGTTTTTCATTGTTTTTTTATTTTTCATAGATTTGCTTGATTTTTCTCGCTGGCGTGGAAGTGGTTGCTTGGATTAGGGTTTTTTTTTTTCTGTTGCGTGAGCAGCTGGTTGACATATGTAAACATATAAAACGACTTCATTGATTATGTAAAAAGTTCTGTATTTTGAATCTTTGAGGGCTTATTTTTTTCCTTTCATGGAAGGCTGTCGTGATGAATTATTGGCGCCGAGTTGATAATTTGGAAATTTGTGGTCGATAAAATTTTGTTGGATGATTCTTCACTGATCACCAGACGGTGTTCGGACAACTTTAGGTGCCTTCTGGTCTCATGTAGTTATTTAAAAGCTAAAAAAAAGGTATTTTTCTTGCTTGATTGGCAGCGAGGGTATTATCTACGATATGTTTTTAATTGTTCAAGTTAAAATGCCTCTTTTTTTCTGTTTATAGCGAGGCTAATGCGTTATGCATTAGTGATTAGAATACTAGCGGAGCTCTTTTCTAGCAAATGGTTTTGATGTTACTCAATGGTATGGCTGTGAATTATTACTTCTACCAGAAGATTGACATTATTCCTTCAACTTCATGGTTCTCTTTGCTCTTTTTCGTTCCTTCTTACTTTTTTCCTTAGAAACTGTACTTCATAATATAATCCATGTAATAGTTTTGGATTTAGACTAGCTGATTATGTGCACAGGTGACAACATAAATAATTGTGAAATGAGGAGCTTTGTGAAAAGGTGTTTGCATCTGGAAGCATTTGGCTAATATTTAGAAAGTTCCTTGTGAGGAAAAAGAAGAAGAAAGAGTTATTGAGTATTTTATTGTTCAATCCTACATAGAATAAACTTGTGCCATTCATCAAACTCAGAGATTTAGGCTTTTATAATAGGATTTAAGGGAACATCTTTATATTTATGTGATAACCCAAAAATATGAAAAGTGTAAAAAAATGAATTTCTATTTGAATTAGAGCGCTTTAGTGTTGTGCTTGTAAGCGTTGCTGCGCTAAGTTTGAGAGCATAGTGGCGTCAGAAAATGCCACTGCGGCGTTTGAGTCTCTGTTCTATAGTAATTCTGATTTGACATGCAGTGCTGCGCTTGGTATAAGCGTTGTGAGGCCACTAACATTATTTTTATATAGATTTTAATGTAAGTATCCCGTCCATTTCCCCTCATCCCTCACTTTAATGCTACTTTCCTCGGAAGAAATCAAAGGAGAATGAGAGAAAGAGGAAGAGAAGGAGAGAAAGGTCTTTGGGTCAATTTTGTTTGTCGCTTTTGTATGAAAATTATTCTATTTGTAGTAACTATCCACTCACATATGTTTTCGATGATTTTGATTTCTACAGATTATATCTCTTCTAAATCTACCCAAAACGCATTATCTCTTAATTTTGTAAGCTTTCTCCATTTAGCTTTTGATCTGTTATAGATTTGATTATTTTGAATAATTTGATATGATTTCATTATATTTTTGCCAGTTAAATATGTGTATAAGAATTTTTGGATAAAATGAGTAGGAAAAAAGTATACTGAAAATGGGTTGAAAGTGATGTATGGTGATTTGTTGTGATAATACTGAAATATATATGCTGCAATGATTGATAATATTGATATGAATTGAAATGTAATACTGAAATGTGATACTTATATGTGATAGAAAGGGTGTATTGTACTAATGCTGCTCTTATAGAAAATTATATACCAATTGATATCATATATATGTGATATAATAACCTCACATGATAACCTTAAGATTCACTATTTCACAAATGAGAGTCATAAGGAGTTGGAGACTGATTGAGAGATAAGGAGTCAGGACAACTGATTTACATAATTTAAGGGGAGTTATACAGAGTATATTGATTGAGAGTCAAAAGGGACGACTTATTGTGAGTCATATGTGCAGGAGCAATGTACCCTTGAATATATGATAGAATATTGATTATTGATCATTGATACGAATTATACTTGATTCTAATTACTGATTATTGCTAGCTGATACTGATTGCTAATTAATATTAACTATTGTTATTGATACTGTATAGAAACTGATTGCTATTATTGCTTACTGTTATTGAATACGCATACTGACATTTTTGTTAACTACATAATTGATATACTAATGAAACTGATTGAATAATAAAGATATAATAATTGATTGATTGATATAGGTGACCAGTATCGATAGTATATATTGATTCATATATTTTCTTACATGATTTATAACATACTAATTCTTTTTTTTTTCCTTGCATTGATTTTAGTTAATTGCTGGGCTTTTATTCTTATTATGTGGTTTAAATGATTTCTTATAAAGGTAACGAGTTGCAGCTTGAGGCTACAACATGTATAATTTTTTTTCTACATTTCTAGTTTTATTTTTCCTTCAGTTCATCTGGTTTATGTATATTCTTTTACAACCAATATGGCTATTAATGTTTAACATTGCGTAATTGGGTTTTGAAGCATTTTTTGTTTGTGAGGCGATGCGTAATCCTCAAGGCATTTTGTGGCGTGAGCATAAAAAATAGAAAATCGCGTAAATTCAAAATTAGTATTTTTTATGTAATAATTAAATAATATATTAAAAGTGAACATGAGAAATAAATTGTCATATATATGAAACACAAATAATGCACAAGATATAAAATGGCAAGTAATAAATTGTATAAAATTGAATTGAAATTCAAACATCACTATAATAAAACAACATAAAATGTAGGTCAACTCAAAATTCTATCTTTTCCATTATCTTGTTCATTAACATTTAATTAAAAAAAGAAATAGTAATGGGCCTAATGGCATAGCAAATCAGAGGTCATTAGCACTATCATCACTGGGGGGCTTTTCATTTGAATCATCATCATAATAAATTGCTTTCTCCCCTGCCTTATCACCTGTGGAGTTTAGTGCCTCCCATTTTGCTTCTTCCTCCTCTATATTAGTTATCATCCTCTTCTCGAAATATTTTTAATCAATATAAAGATGAGTAATACTTTAAGATTAATAAGCTCTAAGCAGTACATTTTTTTATTTAACTTTTTTGGTTTTGTCCTTTTGTACTTTCCACGTGGTAGATGTTAATGCTTTATTTCTATCACTATTGAAGAAATCAACATTTATATCTTCCTCTTGCAATTTAGATGGCGTAACCTTCACTTCATCTTCTACAAACCACTAGTTATCCGATGGCATATCCTCACAAATCAAATAATATTTGTCATCCTTCAATCCTTTCTTCTTCAAGTTCTTGTCTTCCAGTCTCTTATTGTATATAATATATACTAAGGAATTCATCCTTAAAATTGTCAGATGATTTCTCTTCTTTGTATATACTTGGTTGTGTTCTAGTTACGTTCACATCCTGGTAAAGAGCATGCTAACCTCAAATCCTTCACAACAAAACACTGCAATTCTGGAGTGTCATCACCAAATTGAATCCATAATTCAACTAAGATTTATATAAATGAGTGTAGTTAGTACTCATGGAATGATTTTTAAATAAATGAGTATATAATTCGGTAAAATAACAATTAAAATTACTGGAGATTGTTTATAAATAGTATCTTTTGCTTGTTGTAATCCAAAAAAGTCTTATATTCTGAAATGGTATCAATTGCATACCAACATTTGATCTTTTAGTTGAATCTGATATGAGTCTATCCATGCAATGATATAATTCTAATTTTAACTTAGGATTTGTAGATTTATTCTCTGCATATTGATATTGAGGGTGATAATAACCTATTGCATACAAATACCAATGAAGTTGTAGTTCCCACCTATCATCAATAATACTCCAAATCAATGTTTAAAATTGCGTATTCGGGTATTGAGGCATTTTTCATTCGTGAGCGAGGCGTAAGCCTCAAAATCAAAAGATTGTGTAAACATAAAATGATAAATTTTTTATATACTAATGAGTGAATAATATAAAACATAAAAAAACATAAGATATGAAGTTAAATCAAAATATCCCAATAATAAGATAACATGAAATATAGTTCAACTCAAAATTCTATCTTTCCCAAATCCCAGTATTCTTTTCATTAACATATAATTCAAATTTTCAAAAATAAATAGCAATGACATATCACATAAGAACTCATAAGTCATCAGCAGTATCATTACTAAGGGGTTATTCATTTGAATCATCATTATGATGAACTGCTCTCTCCCCTTCCTCCTCTCCTATAGAGTCCAATGTCGGGCATTTACTTCAAGATTTATGTAAGTTTGAATATATATAGCGTGAGGCGTAAGCCTCATGCCAGTGAGGCGAGGCGGGCCTCAACCAAGTTGAGGCGCAAGCCTCATAAAAAAAACTCGAGGCATAAACATCGAGGCGTTTTTTACTGGAATTGCGCAAAAGCGGGCCTCAAGACGAGCCTCATATTGCGCAATTTTAAACCATGCTCCAAATTTTTCTGTAGCTTTCCTCTTCTTCTAAGTTGTGGGCAATCATTATTTTTGCTTCATCAATAACATTATATATAAAGTCAATAGCAGGCTTCTTTTTAGCATCCATCATATTAAGAACTTACACTAATGGTCTAATGGTTGTGATCTCATACCATGTCACTTTGCCAAAATTTATCATTTAGAATAATTTTTCAAACCTTTTTTCCCCTCAAATTTTTTTGCCCAAGTATAGCTCAATCAATTTGTAGAGGTAAACATAGACTCCGAAGGTTGCCTATCATTTAACATACTCTACAGAGTCAAATATGCAGTGTCAAATCTTGTTGCTGCATGCCTAAATAATTATTTCTTTGAAAATATTCACATAAGTGTTAAAACTTAAGAATGATTATACATAAATTTATTTATCTTATTTGTTTTTGTTAGTGCATTCTTCTGTGACAGCTCCCCAAGCTTCTAAGTATTACATCAATGCAATGTACGGCACATTGAGTCCTATATTAATATTTCCTCTTATTCATAAGTTTTGTCCTTGCAGCCCTATAAGCACTGATGTTATTTGTTATAACTTGGGCAACCAAGTGCTCTCCAATCTCCTCAATAACATTGTCTAGTAATCCAAAGATTAACTCAACATCTTTCACCTGATCAGATGTCTCAACTGATTTCAAAAATACAGTTTCATATAGGTTGTTGATCAATATTTTTATTAAACTTTTGTTCTTCACATCAGACTATCCATCAGACATAATTGTAATAACTATTTGGGCCCAAGTCCTGTTAATTTCCCTATACTTTTCTCAGTAGTAGTCAACTCCTTCAGAATTCATGTCCTTAGATCATACATGGATGTAGGTTTGAACTCTCGTAAGCTCCTATTAAATGAATCATGTTGGGGCAAGAAGGTGATATTGTAACATTAAATGGGTTAGCATTATCATAAAGAATTTTCTTATATCCATACATACTCGGATTCGTGCATCCCTAGCATTCTTTGCGGTTATCTTTCGTTCAATAGAAGGCTTGTATTCTTATTTATCCTATGATATGTTCAATATATAATGATTCATAGGACCCCTTGCACCCCTGCTGGACATGGGTTGCAATAAAGAAGATGAATCCTGTTCGCTCGCATAGTAGGAGCCCACATCAACACTATTTTCAAATAGCCTCCGTGTTAGGTGCTTCGACATTACAAATTTATTCATGCATGTCCCTAACTATATCAGACACTTTGGCATATGGTGCAACATTCTTGTGTGATCCAGATATATGCTCCTTCATCCTAGTCACACAACCTTTTATCACTTTTTCATAGTTTTTATTGAGCATAATTATTTATGTTCAGCATATTAAAAAAATAAAGGATTAAAAATAATCATTTTAGTTTCTATTTCATTTGCTCATGCACTCAACAACATTTACTATAATGTAAAGTCTGTTTTTATTTTACAAAATAAATCCTGAAATAATTTTATAAAAGATAATCTCTTTAAAACTAAATAATTTATAAATTTTTATTATATTTTGAACTAGTTTACCAAACAAACTGTGAACTAATGAGAATCAAATTGATGATTGTGACCTAAATAAAAGAGTTTACACAATATGAAATTCCAGATGGTACGTCAAGTCATTAGAAAATTGTTGTCGAAATCCTGACTTAAAACACGTTTATACTAATACTTCCATATCTTTCAAATGGGCTGCATGTATATATAAACTCATTTTAAAGACATGCTAGGTGTAAAATAGGAGCAAATAGAGATCAAAACACAAGAAGACAAGATAATAATCATTGTAAATAAAAGTGTAAACAAAAATAAAAATCAGGTAGCAAAACAAGAGCTTTCCGATGAAATACGTGGGCTCCAGTAGAAAAAGATGCTCTAAGAGCTACTAAAAACACAATCTTATGTAGCGAGCAAATTGTCGTTGTTACTTACAATCCAACATGAAGAATGTCGTCGAATGTTCTTGACTTTTGATCCAACAGTGAACATCGTCGACGAAGAAGGCTAACTTCCGCTCGGGCACGGAACGTCGTTGAAGAAGGCTGCTTTCTACTCAAGCACGGAACACCGTCGAAGAAGGCGGACTTCTGCTCGAGCACAGAACGTCGTCGAAGGCAAAGAAGATGATGAATAGAGGCGAAGTCGAACTAGAACGAAATGAGTATATATACTACTCAACATTTGGTTTAGGTTTAAATAACTTTATTTTTTGTTATTTAGATGCGAAATCCTCACAGAATTGAGGTGAAGCGCGCCTCAGCCGATTTGAAGCGTACGCCTCACAAAAACGGTTATGTGCATCCGCTTCGATGCGCTGTGGGAATGAATTGTGTGAGGCGCACCTCGAATTACGCAATTTTAAGTTGTGGTGGCTATTGCACACGTGGGTTTAGGACTTTGGATGTAGCACATAAATATTGATCATAGTAAATTTGAATTATGCTTTTCATTGTTTATATTTCTTTTATACAATTAATTAGTTATGAATGTTATATTGATTTGGTTGTAAATGACTACTGGCTATTATTGAGAAATAAGAAATAAATAAATAAATTAAAAGAGAAAAAAGAAAAAGAAAAATTTTTCAAGTTTGATCTCGGGGTGCGACAATTTATTATCATCATTAGTCTTATCATAACTATTTGGAGTTTGGTTTATGAATCATCTTTTTCTATTTATTCCTATGGAGCACTGCTTGATGTGTTACGCCTATTTTTTCATAAATAGTTTTGAATCTTCTATCCATATTACTTCATGTCTACTTTTTATTCTTTCTTTATCCTTGAACACTACCTTTATATTCTCATTCAATTGGATGTAGTTTTAATCATTTATTATAATTGCCCAAACCTCTAAGTCTTTTTTTTGAATTATCTTATCTTTAATAGATGCCACTCCCATTGTTTATTTGATATATTCATTCCTAGCCTTTCCACATATCTATTTTAACAGTCTCATTTCGGTCATGCTCTACTTAGATATCAATAAATTTTTTTAAACTTTCGAACACTCAAATCCATAAAACTTCACCAACCTAATTGCAATTTAATATAATTTACCATTAAATTTTTATAATCTTCTCTTATCGAATAATCGTCATGAGAAATTCTCCATTTAACTAAGCTGTCTCTTTCTTTTTATATATCTCATTTTTTGTAATAATAGATCTAAGATTTTTAAACCTTTTATTCATAAATGTTACTTTATCTTGTAATAATATTGAATACTGTAATTATAATATCAAACATACTCCAATCACATATCATATACTCAGTTTTTTGCTAATTTTAAGCTATTAAGTTTTTAAATATTTTCTCTATCTTCTCACTTATTTTCAATCGGCGTATAATCAATTAGGATTATGTGATATGTAAAATCCTGATATCAGGACATCTCATTTTGAACATTCATTGTGAGAATTTTCATGGCCAATACAAAGAGATGCACTCAATGATGATATTCATTGTAACCATAATATAGTTGAAGACTTTGTGGTCATTCCACAATTATTTGTAATACTAGTTGCACTTTTTCATACAAATCTAATCTGAACATACCCTTAACAATTAATTTTGCTAATTAGTACGTTTTGCTATATGATTTATTTCAAATGAAGAAATTAGAAACCCTATGCTTGTTTTAAAGAAAGATTTCCACTTACAACAACAACAACAAAAACAAAATTAGACTTTTATCCCACTATGTGGGGTCGGCTACATGAATCGTTTTTCTCCTTTGTGTCCTTTTAAGAGTCAAATACTCGTTTCAATCTAAAAAAGAAAGGTCATTTATAATATTTTCTAACCAAGTCTTTTTAGGTCTACCTATACCTTTCTTAACATAAGCCAAATCTAATACATCTACTTTCCTAACCGGGTCATTAGAAGGCCGCCGTTTTATGTGACCAAACCATATAAGGCGACTCTATCTAATCTTATCTTCCATTGGAGCTACTCTAACCTTTTCACGTATATGCTGATTACGTATCCTGTCTCTAAGAGTAAAACCACTCATCTCTAAGAGTTAAGTTTAAAGAAAGATTTCTATTTCTGACAATTTATTTAATGGTAAATACTGACTCCCTATTTCAGCACTAATTATTCATTTCACTTATTGGACCTTGGAGTCCTAAATGAAAGTATGACGCTTCTCCTTTGGGAGGGCCTTGTTGCATAATGTAGAACTACTTTGGAATTATTTCTTATGAGTATTTCTCTATTTGGGAAATTGACAAGGCTCCCAATCAAGCATTCAGATCTCTTGAGACTGCTTGATGGAATTGGCTAGCATCAAAGAGACTTGAAAGATCTTAAAATTTGAATTTCTCAATGGAAAACGCTTCCTTCCTATAAATAATTCGCCATAAGGTTAAATTCTATGCTTTGAACTTTTCTGAGTTACAAGGGATGGTATGTTCACTTCCTTTCTTTTACTTAACATACCTTTGTAGATTTTATTTAAAATCCCAAAAGTAGCTAGCTTTATAAGTGCACAATACTGTTCTTCATTTATTTAGTATATATTTTAATCCAATGGTCTTACTTTTTTCTTGCTTAAGCAGGGAAATTGATTTTATAGTTCACATTGAAATTGAACATGTTAGATAATAGATCAACATTTGCTCATAAAATGTTTTATTGTCCTATATTATATGCTCTAAATTAGCGAGATGAAAGGAAGTAAAGCATTGCTTTCCGGTTTGGATAGTTAACAAATAATTTTAGAGAGTTCAAGTTCTTAATGCCACTTGCTCTCCATCTGAATTGATTACCCTAATTATATTTTGCTATTTTTTTAGAGATGAAAACCAAATATGATCCATTGATTGCCATTTTATTTCCCCTAGAGCACGAATTTTATAGTGCTTACACTTATTTATGTTTAGTCTGAATTAGTCTGAATAAATTTTCTACCTCAATAGTCAATCTTTAGTAATTCTTGTCTAGTCTCCATGTTATTATTTTACCCCTAATGATCTTGTCTAGTTTCCATGTTATTATTTTATCCCTAATAAAGCCTGAGTATATTTGCAAACAGGTATATGTTTTTCATCTAGATTTGAGCATTTGTTGTCTTTATTCTTATCAGAGTGGTGCCCTTTATACTTCTTTAAACATCGGCCAAGAATGGGAACAAGCGGTGCTGCCAAAATGCCTATGTGCAATAGTGATGTTACTGAAGAGTCCGAGACAACTGTCGAGATAAAAATTAAAACTTTGGATTCACAGACGTATACTTTACGAGTTAATAAATGTGTAAGCGTTTTATTTTGATGTTATCTTGGCTTATCAAAGCTGGGTCTTTTAAGTTGTGATAGTGCTTTATATTCGTTTATCAATTGAAACCATCCAATTACTGATCAAGAGGTTCTCCTAACCTAATGATGCTTTTGGATATTGTCACGTCCCTCCTTTTATGATTGAGCTTCCTTGCCTGCTGATTGATACATTTGGCAGATTCATAGACTTTCAATCTGTGGTTCTATTTTGATATTTTAGATTTCGATAGCTTTTTCTGGCTCATCATCATTCATCACTGCCACCGTTTATGTTTCATTGTTACACTGTTTATGCACCACAAGTTTAGTGTTATCTATTAATTCATTCTGCATATTTGTTTCCATCAGTATCTATTTAACTGTTTACTTAAAGAAGTTTAGTCTTCAATTAAAGGATTTGGCTATTTATTCATACCTGTTTTGGATTGAAGGTAAGTGGAGGAAATGAAATGAAATCTGAAAAAATTTATGAGTTAGGTTTTGCATCTACGGCCATTGATTTAAGCTTTTCAACCTTTTTTTTTTCATTTCCTCCTTGCATTTAAATCCATCCTTAGTATAGAGGGAGGTTTAGCCGTTCTTGGCCCAAGTGCAACTTTGAAGTTGGTGGAGCTTTGAGCTCTTGATCCTAGACATTGGTGGATGGCCCTACCAACCCTATGACCAAGTGCATGTAGCTTTGATTTGTTATTCCAACTGGTCTACTTCTGGTAGAGATAATTACATTTTGTGGAAGGAATTATGCCAACTGGTGCCTATAGTTATTCGTTATTTGATAGTTGTTGGGCATGAAATAGTTTTCTGAGCCATTTTCTAATGCTGATGATTTTCTGGAAAAGTTATCTGATGGAAGTAACACTTATTATTTTAAACAGGTTCCAGTCCCAGCTCTCAAAGAACAGATAGCTACCGTAACTGGAGTGCTATCCGAACAACAACGCCTAATATGCCGTGGAAAGGTTTTGAAAGATGATCAGCTTCTTTCTGCTTACCGTATCCTTGCTTCAAAAATTTTAATTGTGCTATGATCTTTATTTTATTATACTTTGAAAATATACTTATTGAAAATTTTAAGCTGCATTGCAATTAATGTGAAATGATGCTTTTCTTTGTTATAAAATCTAAGATATCCTTTTTTCGAGTCTAAATTCATTCCGTTTTATTTATGTTACAATGGACTTAATGGGTTTTAAGTTGCTGGTGAGTTGTTAGCAGCCTATGATATTTGCGTATGGAATGCTTGTCCTTAATATATATATGCTTCAAGATGTTGAAGATGGTCATACATTGCATCTTGTTGTCAGGCAGCCTTATCAATCCGCAACATTTATTGGTACAGAGGGTCAATCCGGTAATCCTGGTTTGCCATACTTGGAGTACATACAATGTTATCTTATTCAATAAGCTTATTGTTGTCTATGTATTCTTCCTGATTGACTGTGCCTTGGAAACTACTTTATACATTAACACGATTCCTTGTTTGATAAACTTGACTTGCATTTCTAAATTGTGCCTCTTTTTTCTCATCTTATCTTTATCAAGGTTTATGCTAGTGGTTTATGGTGTTAGTTGTCTGCTGGATAGAACTTAATAGGTGCTTCATTTGGTCGTACTAGCGTATTTGTTATTAGAGTAAACCATTACTGCATTAGACTTTTATACTATTTCAGTTATATTTCGGTGGGAAGCTGACCCTTATAATTGGGATAATACTAATGATGATGATCATATATTTATGTGTTATATATATATATATATATATATATTTGCAAATATTATTTCTTTGAAAAATTGTTGTATCTTTTACCTTGTACCAGTACTTTAAAATATTTCTCAAAATAGTCAATTGTCATAGTAATATCATAAATTATAATAGTAATACCAATATTATTATTCACATCTACCTCAATAATTCCTATTATAGCTTCATTTGGAGTACTAAATCTAGAATCAAACAAAAATATTAATGTCTTACCTCTAGTTCGTCTTCTAACTAATCCTTTAATTCTAAATACTGTAATACAAGCCCTATATGAATATACTTATGTTTTTGTTTCTTTTTCAATTCTTTTGAAGCATCAAGTGTGATCAAGTTTATTCTAACTTCAGAATTATCAGGAAAATATAATGAAATTTCTCTATGATGTCTAAACAAACCTGTACTCGAACTAAAATATCCATGAGGCTATAACCGAGAGAGATTTAGACTATTAAGATGATCATTAGAAAAAGGTAGACAAATCTCTATCAATACTGATCAATTCCTCTAATCTATAATTATCTCTTGAATTGCTTGGCCTATCAAATATTCTATATCTAACCATTTGTCATTCCTTCAGTATATTTAAGAAATTTATTTTTTTTTTGGTTTTTCTGGTTTCTTCAGTTTTGCCTATATACAGAACTATAATATTTTTTATAATATTTTCTAATTCAGACTATATAAGAAGTAGATGGAATATTAGAAAGCTTTTCTTCTTATTTTTCTAACAAACTCAACGATAATGAAGACTACTTAAAATAGTATTATTTTATTTTGTAATAATTTTATCATTTTTAGATGGTGCTTTTATTTCAATATACAATTCTAGCCCTTTTTCTTGAGAATAACCTGAAAAATAAATAACTGTAGATAGCATTCTTATATTTTAGTTCATTGATCACTTGACTTGCAATTCTTTAATCTTCTGTATTAAATGCTTTAATTGAACAATTTCTTGTTCAAATTGTTTTTTATTATCTTTGATTTCCTCTTTCAATTGAAATAATAATTTTCGAGATGCAATTCAAGTTCTCTGAGTTTATTTTTTTCAATTAAAGAGGATAATCTATTGATATCTTTTCTAGAAGGCAATTAGTTTAAGAAGCTGAAATTTCTTATACAGATCTTCTTGAGAAGGTTTTAAATAAGTTATCTCATCACTTAGATTTTTAATCAACAAAATTTTCTCTGGTATTCTACCCAAAAAGAGAGTAAGCAGATTCTTTTTTTTTTTGGATAAAATTCTAAAGTTTCAAAGAACTTTAAAATAGATCTGTAAAAGAATTTAAATGAGCTTCATTGCTATGTAATCGATGATGGAAACTTTCAGATTTAAAATTACAAGCATGTTTGGCTTTTTCTAAATAAATAATACTTTTGACTTTTTCAGATATTTCTAAATCATCAAGATATTAAAAGTGTTTTTCAGGAAAACTCATGAACATTAAAAAGAAGGATTTTAATGAAACAACAAACAAACTTACTGACTATGTAACAAAATAAAGTAAAATTTTAAAGAATAACAACAGTTATTAGTAATTGTTTTAGAAAATACCAGCAAAAGAACTCCGTTCTGATACCGTAAGTGGGGGATGGGATTTTCTCTAATGTTGGAACACTTAACCAGAAACACAAAATTTAAAATTTGAAGTAGGAATAGAAACAAAAAAGAACTTAAAATAGAAGCAAAAATAAAAATTAGAAAAGAAATAGAAGAAAGATATTATAATAAGCAAAAGCAAAATAATGAAATTTAAAAGATGATTTTTTTTTTTTTAAGGATATAATAAGATAACTATTAGGTTGAAATATAATAAGATGCTTCTTTGAACGAATTCGTTTTAGTAGTCAGCAATTGGGAACTACAACATATATAGGGGATTGTAATAAAGCCCTAGTTGTGCGAAGGCAATTGCAGGGAAAGGAAGCATGGATTTGAAATTGAAGTTTGTTGTTCACTTTTGAAAAATACCATTTATTGTTTCTTTGAGATGCCTCACTCTTATTGGAATGCCAAATTATTTCCAAGACATAACTAAGATGTTAATCTGAGTTATGTTTGCTTGTGAACTTAACATTCATGTCAGATACAATGGTCTTGGGTAACCCATGTAATTTGACGACCTCATTGAAGTACAGTTTGACAATATGAGAGACATCGGATGTCTTAGAACAGGGTAGGAAATGTGCCATTTTAGAGAATTGATCAACTACCACATAGATGATGTCATTCCTACGAAAAATGTTGGGCAAGCCAAGGACAAAGTCCATGCTGACATCTTGCAACGGAGAATTGGGAACTGGTAAAGGAGTGTAGAGGCCAGTGTTTTGTTTACGTTGTTTGGCTAGTTGGCACGTGTGGCACCTACTGAACATTTTTCCCACGTCCTTCAGGCTAGGCCAGAAGAAGCTGTACTCTACAACTTCAATAGTCTTATCACGACCGAAGTGTCCCACAAGGCCTCCGACGTGGAGTTCCCAAATGAGAAATTTTCGAAGGGAAGTGCTAGGGATACAAAGCTTTTGAGTTTTGAAAAGATATCCATCTTCAAGGAGGAAATTATCCACAAGGCGCGTGCTGCCTACGGACAAAAGAGAATAAGTCTTCTTGAAGTCGGGACATTCCAAGTAATCTTCTTTAACTCGCTCAAATCTGACGACTTCGGCCCTCATTTAAGTGGTAGTCATCATACGACGACTGAGGGCATCAACAGCTTTATTTTCAACTCCTACGTTGTGCCTAAGGGTCTAAGTGTACTCCTATTATAATTCTACCCATCGACCGTGACATACGTTCAACTTCTTATGGGAGTTGATGTAATGAAGAGCCTCGTGATCCGAAAAGATGACGAACTCTTGCAGGAGCAAGTAGTGTCACCAATATCGAAGGGATTTGATCACAACATAGAACTCTTTTTCATACATGGAATAGCGCTGCTGGATGTCCTTTAGCTTTTTACTAAAGTAGGCAATAGGGTGACCTTCCTTGGACATGACTCCTCTAATTTCGACCCGCGAAGCATCACAGGTAACTTCAAAGTTCTTGAAGAAGTCAGGAAGTCTCATTATTGGGGCTTCCACCATTCTCTTCTTAATATCCTCAAAGGCTCTAGTGGTAGCCGGGGTCCAGGGAAACTAACCTTTCTTTAAATAGTTAGTGATAGGAGACACAATGGTGCTAAAGTTTTTGATGAATCTCCTATAGAAGGTGGCTAAACTGTGGAAGCTGCGAACTTCCCAGAACTTTTGAGGAACAGACCATTCTACAATGTCTTTCCCCTTCTCGGGGTCTGCAGAAACCCCTTGGGCAGACATATTAAATCCCATAAAGATTACACGATCAACAAGGAAGGTGCACTTCTTAGGATTTGTATAAAGTTGCTCCTTAAGACCTCACAGACTTGCCTTAATTGGTCTAAGTGCTAACTCACGTATTGGCTATAAATAAGGATGTCGTCAAAGTAGACAACAACAAACTTTCCCATGTAAAGGCGCAACACTTGGGTCAAGATCCTCATGAAAGTACTCGGGGCATCACTTAACCCGAAAGACATGATTATCCACTCATATAGACCATCCTTGGTTTTGAAGGTAGTTTTTCACTCATCACCGGGTCGGATCCGGATCTGGTGGTACCCACTCTTAAGGTCGATTTTGGAGAAAAGAGTGGCTCCAGTCATCATATCAAGTATATCGCTTAACCTTGGGATAAAAAAATGATATTTGACTGTGATTTTGTTGATATCACGACTATCAACTAACATTCTTTACGTTAGGGGTGTCAATATTGGACACGACCCGAAAACTCGACTTGAACCAGACCCGAAAATTTCAGGTTCGTGTTGACCCGAACTGGTCGGGTTCGGGTTAAGGTTTTCAACCCGTTTGCAAAATCGAGTAGGGTTCGGGTTGACCTGAAAACTCGGTAATAACCAGGAATGACCCGTTGCTCGCCCTGACCGGGCCTGGCCAAATTAAGTTGCCCATGTCGCGCCCGATGACAATCTCACATCTATGACTCTGCGTGTCACGCGTCACGACCCCCGATGTTCCAGTCTCTCTTCGCGAGTCGCGACTGTTATGGTAAGTCCGCCTCGCAGCTGCCCGCTTGCCCACCGCGGAATTGCATGCCTGCCCGCCGAGCCTTGCCCGCCTGCTAGTAGCGCTTAGTCGCTAACACGCCTGCCTGCTTCACGTCCCGCTGTTCGCAGCTGCCGGCTGCAGGTGTGCCGGCCGTCGACCCGTTGCAGCCAACCCGTAGCTATCGATGCCTCAGTGGATAATGGGTCGGGTCGGGTTCAGGTTGACCTGAATGATGCAGGGTTAGTTCCGGGTTTGACCTGAACCTGACCCGTGACCCGAAATTGACACCCCGTAGAGTCTACGTACCATCCTTCTTTGGTATAAGAAGGGCTGGCACAACATAAGGGCTAAGACTTTCCTTGATGTAGCCCCGCTGCAGTAAGTCATCCACCTGCTTCTTAAACTCAGCATGTTCCGTGGGGTTCATGCGATAGTGGGGCAGGTTGGGAAGTGAGGCTTCAGGGACTAGATCTATAGCGTGTTGGATGTCTCTAAGAAGAGGTAATTGATCAGGGAGATCATCATGGAAGTCATCAGCAAAGTCCCTCAGTGTGGGTTGAACCTCCAGAGGAATAGGCTCTTTAGACTCATAGGAAGTCTCACGGCCACCAAGGCGTACTTTGGTGCACCTTGGACAATATTAGAATCCAGGATCTTGGAAGTCATAAGGTTCAGCCCCTTCTTGGGCTTGATTGGATCGGGTTTAGGATCATCCTTAACCCTGGGTTGCGATGACAAAAGCTTGATCTTTTTGCCAGCACGTTCAAACACACAGGTGCTTGAACGCCCATAGATGTGAACATCATTATCAAAGAGCTAGGGACACCCTAGGATGATTTGTCCAACATCCATTATCAACACATCACACCATACATTCTCCTTATAGTCAGCAAAAGGAGATTGGTATGAGGCTTCGTTCCTTCACCTCTAAGGCAGTGCAGTTGACCCAAGCTACCTTATATGGGTTAGGGTGAGGAACAACAGACAGATTAAGTCTAGATACCATACTGGAGGACAATATTGATGCAACTGCCACTATCCACTATGACTTTATAGTTTTTATCTTTCATTTTGGTGTAGGTGTGAAAGATTGAAGTCCTACACCAGTCATCAGTGGCAACAGGTTGTGACAGTGCATATCTCACCACGCAGATGGTAGATGTGTCTATTTTCTGTATACAGTGGATGACAACAGTGTCGTCATCCTCCTTAAACAATTCACCATCATCTTCAACTTGTTGAATCTGGTCAGCGTCGGGCTCAGGCTCTTCTTCAGTGATCTCCTCAATAATAGTGACTTTATATAACACTAAGAGGAGATATGCCCATACCCCTGGCATCGAAAGCACTTGGTCCTTGAGTGAGACCTAGGGGTATATGGGGTGGGAGGCTTACTTTTAAAATTAGGATGGGGTGTGGGAGGACCAGAAGATGGTCGGGTAGTGTTTCCAGGGGTTGGCCGGGTAGTGGAGTGATGAGGAGCCGAACCACTAGAGGGTCGGTAGGAAGGTCTAGAGTCTTGGTGTTCACTAGAGTATTGCGAACAGGTTTCCTCAAGGTCTAACACTAGGTTGTAGGCATTTTCAAGAGAAGTAATGTTCCGGGCAAATAGTTCGTTACGCAGGTCCTCGCGCAACCCGCTATGGAACATTGACAGAATTTGAGCGGGGGTAGCAGAGGTCTCCCCTTTGCAGGAAATTAGATAATCGTTGAAAGCTGCAATGTATTCTTTCACCGATTTGTTGCCCTGTGTTAACCTATTTAACCTATCTAGGAGTCTAGGAAAGTACGAAGGAGGTAAGTACTTCTGCTTGAGCTCGTGCTTCATTGAAGGCCAATTAATGATGGGTTATTTATTACAAGATTCCCTAAGGCTTTCTAAGTTGGCCCAAAACTGGCTAGCTCTACCCGTGAGTTTTATTTCAGTGAACCTAACCTTCCTTGCTTCAAAAATGTTGTACCACTTAAAGAAACTATCAATGCCCTTGATCCAGTCCAGAAAGGGTTGGGGATCGAGAGTTTTGCCAAAGGTTGGGGCGTTGACCTTTATGTTTTTCAGCAAGGGTATATTAGGATCTTGGTTAAGGTCATGACCGTACTGGGGAACTCGATAAGGGGCTCGAAGATATCCCTCATCCGGTAAGGTGTTGTCGCTGTACATAGGAGGTCTAGAAGGTGTGTAAGATGTAGCATGATTCCTGACTCGATCTAGTGTGTCAAATCGTTCCGTCGTTTGGCAGCGGAGCTCAGCTAAGTCGGATTGGTTTTCCTTGAGTTGTTGGTTGATGGTGTTCATTTGACCTACCAATAGATCTAAGATCATGTGAATTTGTTCCGTGTGCATCCTAAGTTTAAGGGTGACTCAAAACTATGCAAATGTGAAGGAGATTAATATGCTAACATGATAATAAGTTTAATGCGTGCAGGATGCGATTTAGATGCTAAACATATAAGAAACGTTGTCCTAATAGGATCCTAAATGCAACCATGCTTTAATACCAAAATGATATAGTACGAAATGCGTATGTCAATATTCAATGTTGAAATTAAACACCTTGGACTAGAGCAACAATAATTATTCTATTTTTAGCGAATTAAACGGAGTTCAAGTATAATAAGAGGGTGATGTAGCTTATTAGGTCAAATTACACGATAATTGTTTAGGAGCACAAAATAATCTCTTTAAATCAAGCTTTTCAATACATGGAAGTTTTCAAAGAGAATCTCAATGTTAACATTTAGACTAGCCACTATGAAAAGAAATCCCTCACTTAACTCTTATTAATTTGGCTTGCAGAGAAGGTTACACAACCTTAGTGATGCCACAATTGAAAGGGACTAGGAAAATACAAGGTTAGGAGGAGATTTCACCTTTGTCAGAGTCAGAAGATATTTACCACTGAACGGGAGATTGTTGTTGATCAATGGCGACAGTAAGAGAGAAAAGAATTCGCTCCACGTATCCTTCAACGGAGCGATCAACTTCGAGGTTTAGGTCAAAGAGCGGAGATTTGTAGATCTCGATGAATCCTTGATCATTGAAGATGAACCCATGATCAAGCTCCGGATCAGCCATACATGAGTGGACAATTACTAGGAGGGGATGGAAACTCTTGAGCAACAAGAAGTGGATTTCCGGAGAGCAGGCAACAAATTACCCTTGCTGAAATCTTCTGGGCAGCAGCCTAGTAATGTCCAGAAAAATCTGGACAACTTTGAGGACTAAAATCCTTGAGAGGTGCTATTTTAGGAAGATAGCACTTGATAGCATAACAAAAGAGGAGGAAAGGGGGGGGGGGCGGAGAAAGCCGACCACGAATCGTGATGCTTACTGCGGTTGGTGGGTATTGCGTTGCCCCCACCTAGGGTTCTCACTAAAGCTCTCTCTCAAAAGCTCATAATAGACAATTGCTGGAATTTTTCAAAATAATCTTCATTACCCATCACAAGAATAGGAGGCTATAAATAGCCCCAAATACAATAATAAAACAAAATACAAAAGAGCCCCCTGGGGTTACAAGCACCTACTCCCTCAAGTGGGGGTAAAATCAAAAAATAAACAACAATAAATCAAATATAACTAATAATTGAAAATTAAAGTGGTGCGATCGTGGTCGTAGATTGTCGACCCCGTCTCTAGTAAACTCTCCATGGTCGGATGTCCTCATCACTTTGTAAATCCAACACCCAAACAGGCTCAAAGAATGAATGAGATTTAGGTTTCTATAGAATTTAAAGTTGTCATTTTTGTTGTTTGGCCAAATTTAGGCTAAATCATTCTTAAATCTTGCATAGAAGGAACATGATTTAAGTTTCTGTAGGATTATAAGTTGTCTGACAAGATTTAGGTTAAATCATGCTTAATTACTGCTCAAATCTAACAAAGAAGGAATGAGATTTAAGTTTCTATAGGATTTAAAGTTGTCATTTATATTGTTTGGCGGGGCTTAGGCTAAATCATGCTTAAATCTATTGAAGAAGGAATAGGGTTTAACTTTCTGTAGGTTTTAAAGTTGTCATTTTTTGTTGTTTGGCAAGATTTAGGCTAAAGCATGCTTAAATTCTGCTCATGTGATAAGAAAGTTGTCATTTAATAATTAAAACCTAATTTTTATAGAATCAACCATCATGTGATAAGAAAGTTGGAGATTTGAGAGAATCTCCTAGAAGTATGGAGATTTAATATGTATTCACTTTTTTTTGTGCATTTTAGCATTATTTTTTCATGAAATTTGTACCATTTTCTGCTCTTTACTCTAGATGCGTTTAATTTGAATCTAGTTCCAAAATTTTATATTATAATAACATTTATTTTGAGGCATGTCATTATGTTCATGATTAATTTCATTTTTTGTCATTTTTATGAGTTATTTATAAGTTTTCTAGTATTTTATTTTTTTCTTTTTGACGATTGCACCTTGATCTACTTCGAGGCTTATACCTCACCTCACTAAGGCAAAATGCATTTTGCTTTTTTAAACCTTGGACTCTACCATCTTGCCATTCAGAAAAGTTTTATTCTCGCAGTGATTGTCATTATTAATTTCTTTTTTATATTTTATGAACAAAATTAGGATTTGTTTTTATTCTTGTCATTTGACTTTGTTTGAATATAAAAACTTACTATTTCTTTGGGTCTGCAGCTAATAATGCTCCAGATAGCATGCCAAATCATCCCAATCAAGTTTCTCGTACTGTTGTTCTTGAAGCTGTCAACATAGATCAAGCTGATCTTGATCCTACATTACTTAATCGGGTGAGGATTTGAAGCCATAAATTATTTGCTTCTCTGAACTGGCTTTTCTACTTTCATTACATGTGAACATTTAATGTGCAGATTATGACTAATATCCTGAATTCTTTTGGGGCAACTAACGGAAGTGGTAATGTAAGCACTAATATTCAGGTAATTTAAGATTAAGCTTAAAAGTATTTCCAGAATTTGATTTGTTTTTGGAATGTTTGATCTGTACATGCATCTTCTGCAGCTATCTTAAGGTAATTTCTTTGTAGGAAGCAAATTCAGGAAGGCTTCCTAGATCATTTGGTCATACTGGAGTTTCAAGCAGTCAGAATCAACCACATATTACTACTCAAACCAGTCAAAATCTTCCAAATATTTCTTCTCAAAGAATTGCGTCTGACAGGCAACCGGCTGCTTTCCAATTCCCCACTGCTATTTCCTCGGGGTCCCAGAACTTGCCAGTAAGCTGGATTTCTCATTCAAATTGTGCATTGAATTGTTCCATTGTCACCTGCTGATCTCTTTCCACTATAAGGAATGTACGAGAGCATTCATGAAATGCTTTACATGACCAACATGCATTGAAATTGATGCTTGTACGGCCTATCATCCTTTTTCCTTGTAATTATATGTCATTTTGTTTTTTTTGCAGGCAATTCCTCATTCCTTAACTACTCTACAACAGTATTTGATCCATTTGAAGAATGTGTTCTGGAGAGACATACCTGGTTCTAATGGTATTAAAATCTATGTTATATTTGTTGCCTAGTCATCTTGAATTCTTCAAATGTTCAGCTTGTGTATTGGAATTTATTATGTGATTCAAATGCCTGCATTTCATCAGATGGTGATCATAACAGCAGCGGAGAAGCTTCTACGGTGCATCATAATGAGGGTGGAGACAATATCTCTTTATCTCATCATCCTTCTAGGAGAGGTGATATACCAACTCCTGCAGCTCTGGCAGAAATTTTGCATTCAACCAGACAACTGCTAGCTGAGCATGTTGAAGAGCGTCTGCTTGTAGGTTTTTAACTACATTTTACATTCTATTCTTATGATGGAGCATGTGACCAGTTACAATGTGAACTCAATATCAGCACTTGTTCTGACACGAAGTTAGACTTGTCTCGTAACATTTTTCCTTTTTCCTTTTGTGGATTATGGATGACTGACAATTTATATGCTGCTGCTCATGAGATTTTGTTTTAGTATGATAGCTCCACAATTTTTAACTGTTCAATTCATTGTAAATCGTTCTGATTGTTTGTGTTCTACTTGTGTTTGCTTTTGGAACGAATACCAAACTGATTAGAGCTGGCTATAAAGATCACTTGATCAAGATTTTGTAAGAGTTGCTTTTATCTCTTGGCCTTTGGGTGCATCATTAGTCTCTGGCTTAGTCTCCTATTTAAATTTAGAATAAATCTCTGCTCTAGGTTGGTCGTTGTTATCTTCATCATCACCACCACCACCTTCACCACCACCACCACCATCCGCATCTATTTTAAATTACTCATTTGCATAACCAATGTTATCTTCATATACTTTCACAAGTTTTCATTCCTAATCTTTATAAGGATCCAAATAATCCTTTTCTTTTGATGCTTTGGAATTTTGATGCGGGCAAAAGATACAGGGAGCCTATATCTCTCGATCGCAAAAGACACGACGGACTTCTACGGGCGAAAATGACTAAAGACGAGGAAAGATATGAACAAACTCTTACATTTCAAATTAAACTAAACAAAAGAAAACTTACAACAATACAAACGACTCTTGCAAACAAAATGACGACACCCTAAAGTTGCTGCACTTGGAGAAGGAAGATACAGGTGGAGTGGCACCTGCGGAGAGACGAAAGAGGTTAGAAGCCCGAGAAGAAAGGTTGGAAAGAGCCCGCAGGATTTCCGGAGAGGATGAGAAAGAAGGGTGGAAAGAGCCCGCAGGATTTCCAAGCAACCCGCAGGTTAACAGATTTTTTTCCAAAAATCAAATATCATTCACTTACTATTTCAAACATTACAATACCCCCATATATATAGGTATGAAAGGGGAAGACCAAAAGACACCTTACATTAATTTAACACTAAATTCAAAGCATTAAACACATAGAAAACTCCCCCCAAGCTGACGGTTAATCACCCAAACCAGGAACCAAGGAGATAGCCACGGGAGACGAGGGGAACCGCACGGACCGAGAGCCACGACCACGGGAAACGAGGGACGGTCACGGAAGAAGGAGCCAGCCGTGAGATCCCAAGAGGCAAACACAAAATACTAAAAGCCATGAGGAAACCAAGGAGTCACCTCATGGGAAAAGACATTTATTGGAATTCCAAAAGCCGGTTTGGAATTTCAAGAGACTTACATAATTAAAAACATAAAAAACATAAAAAGTGCATTTAATATAGGATAATAAATGAACTAAAATATTAGTTCATAATGAGCTAACCCTTAGTTCAATAAATGAACTAAAGTCCTGCTCATAAATGAACTAAAAGTTTAGCTCAAATATGATGAACTACTAGACTCAAGGGAAGCCAAAATTTGATTTATTTTGGACTTGTGTTGACCCCCCCTTTGTCTACATCAAATTTTAATCCTTTCATTGCCTTATACAAGTACCTTTTGCTTTCTTTTATGTTGAGACTAATTTACTTAGGCTTTGTTTGGGACGGCTTTCTTTTTGCTTCTTAAAGCCGCTTTCTAGTTCAAAAAAATTAACTTTTGTACTAGAAAGCTGCTTTAAGAAGCAGTTAAAAAGCTGTCCCAAACGAATCCTTAATTTGCAGGAGTACAAGAAGAAATAGAAGGTAATCATCATACTTAGTGCATTGTTCCTAGGATTGTTAGTAATTTGAGAACTAATAAATCGATTATCATAATACTCAGATATTGAAGATCAAGTATTGTAGTATAATCTTAATTATTATGTGATGATCAAGGAGATTGATCAACATAATAACCTTCATAATATGTATCTTGATCCTTATAATAATATAATGCTCATAGAGATGAATCAAGATAGCCTCTATAAGGAGTGATGTGCGTTAATAAATCTCTTTTGGGGTTATGATTACTTTTCAAAAGATTATCCCAAATAGCATATTATGGTTGTTGAGCTATCGTGATGTGATACCCAATCTTTTTAAGGCAATGTGTAAAATTTAGCTTCATAAATTATACCTCAAAATACCAATTTCACAAAAAATCATAAAAAAAAACATGCCATTGTATTATACTCTTCAAATGTAGCAAATTGATATATAGAAGTATATGCTAATTCAGAAAGATGTGAAATTTAGAGAATTAAATCCTGTTTGAATAAATTCCCCAAAGTTTTTCTTTTTTAAGAATTATTGTTCCTTTATTCGATTTACTGTAGTAGGGTTAAATAAAACTTTGGCAAAAGCACTTAAGAGTGAATGTAGAAGTGGATTTGGAGGATAATCAGGTAAACTTTGTATTTAACTTTATTGTTTTCCTTCCCTACCCAAACTGAAGTGGTTATAGCTCTTAAAACTTGAGTAGCTCTCGATTTTGACTGTTCTCGTTGCTGGAATTCGTGTGCTGGTGCTTGGGTCGTGGTTGGGAGTGAGATGGCCGAAGGGGCTGTGGAGGAATTCAGGTAAGGAGAAGGAAAAGGAAAAGAGAATGAAGGAAATGGGAAAGAAGAAAAATTCAAAGAAATAAGGAAGAAAAAAGGAGAAGAAAGTAAAACAGGGGAAAGAAGAGAAAAGAAAAACATATAAAATAAAAGATAAAAAATTGGTTTGTTGTATAATTATTATTTTGTGTAAATAACTATTTTTGTGTTAAATTTTAAAGTAAGTATATTCAATAGTTTATTACAAATCTCTTAGTATATAAGGAAGGGAAGTTTTGACGATTCAAATTGTGTATGAGGAGAGAAAATTGGGAGGTAATAATTTTAATGCCTCTATTTGGTGTGGATGAAAATTATAGAAATCATGATATTATGAAATTTGGATTATATTGGTGACATACGCATAGGTGAGTTTGAAGTGTCCGAATTTCAGAGACAGTTTATCATGGAGGTAAGATATGCAATCTTTTAACATCGAAAGCAAGTTCTTTAGTCATTTTGCATATACAGTTGTTAAAGTAATTCTTCATATTGTTACATGTATGTACATAGCTTAGTATCCATGTGTAAATACGCACATATGATTTTAATGATTCAAGTTCAAAACTAAATATCTTGTGATTATATAAATGTTTTAACATTTTAAAAGGGAAAAACATATGTTATATGTAGTCTCCCTTGTCATACATGCTAAAATTACATATTTATTTTAAGTAATACATAATATGCTTAATTACAAATTAAATAAAGTGATCAAAATCCATTAAGCCGAAGAAATATCATGTTAGGTAATAGGCAGGTAGGGCAGTGTGGCCCCGATGAGCAATGTGACTCAAATGAAGGCAATGCGACCTTGGTATGTTAAAAGCCTGCGGGCTATGATGAATCATGTGGGCTATGGAGGCAATGTAATCTTAAGTGGCATTACAATCTCAATATGATGAAGCCTACGGGCTTTAGATAACCTGGATCTAGATATCATGACATGACATATTCTTAGGTTAGAGATGATGTGAAAGGACATATGTGCATCTAAATGAAACATCTATGTGATTAAATTCAGGATTGAATATTTATAACAACTGATATGATATTACTTTTGTTATATTATCATGATTAGTATTCTATATTTTTAATTTAGGTGAGCATATTAATGTTACATGGTTTTTATGTGCAGTTAATTCATGCAATTGATACATATTAATGATGTATTATAAAATAGGTATGACTTAATTACGTACAGTCATTACACTTACATATTAGTTACATCTTTTATATACTTGAATCTTGTATTATGGATGTATATCTTTTTATGCTTCATAACTCATCGGATTTTTATTTGGCTATTTTTATAATAGAGGAGGATAAGGTTGATGCTGAGTAGAAACATGTTTAATTTATGTCTTATGTTTTGTTATGTTCAGTTTTAAGATAAGTTCTTATTGGAGGTATGTAAGATACTTTTTATGAATGCTTGATGTTTGTTTGTTGCTATTTACATATAAATTATCAAAAAAAAGAAAAAAAAAGAAAGGATTGTTTCCTCTTTGTTGATAAAAGTTGATGTCTTTCAGGAATGTTTATGGATATTTAATGCATTATGAGTGAATTGTATGAATCAATCTATTGTGCCCTTCGCCGACTGGAGTTGGTGTGGGTTGTGACACATGATGTTATAGTGATGCGAAAAGAGTGATTGTAATATGAAAAAACTAGATAACTTGGACCCAAATGATCATCATATGTTCAAAATTATTACTAAATGCTATAAGTTGCAGTGGGATGGATTTGAAGAAGTATTATAACTATGACTAAGAGAGAAATTCCATATAAGAAATTGGAAATATTCAAAATCAGATATATAGGATTTATAAGTACAATATTGAGGATGTGGAAAGTTACTTTAGTTGTGGATTAAATTTTGTAGGAAATGAGTTTAAGATAATTTTATAGAATGAATTATTGAGAATCATTCTAAGATAATTGACATCTTTTCAGAGTGGGGTGATAGTCATTAAATTTAGGCATAAGCAAGGACATTGAGGAATGTTGTAAAAAGGGCAGAAGTGTCATCAGAGCATTTAGTATGCTGAGGGGAGGGATGTAGTAGATGACAAGATGGAGGAAGTTGGTTTGGGCAATGACGAGTGTGAAGTTATGTTGGTCAGAGTGAATGCAATGACATGTGCGGTTGTGTAGAGGCATGTGGGAATTGGTGAGCGTGGTGCATAACATGCAAATAAATGGCAAAATCTTCAAATTCATAGGTAGCATCACTTGATGGTGTCATTGGTTTGAGGCGGATGTGTAAATGGAAGCCTATGTGTAACGCTTGCTTGGAGTGAGCAAAGTTGCTAGGTTGTGGGCTGTATGCAATGTTTTTTATCAATGTAGTGGATGGAACGATGAGCTC